CCGCTCGAGCGGATCTTGGTGTTGGGCAACTTGTGGTCTTTTTTCCATTTCATGCGCCGGTTCTGGAACCAGATCTTGATCTGGCGCTCGGACAGGCAGAGCGCGTGGGCGATCTCGACCCTCCGGCGTCGCGTCAGGTAGCGGTTGTAGTGAAACTCCTTCTCCAGCTCCAGGACCTGCTGGCGGGTGTAGGCGGTCCTCGAGCGCTTGGGTTCCCCGCCGGCATAATTGGGGTTTACTGGACACACACAGAGACAAGAAGAAAGAGAAAGTTTTATTGCCCCGGAGGGGAGGAGGGCGCGCCCTTTCTTCCAGCTAAGGCGGCGTCGCCTTCCCTCTCTCTCCGCCACCTCCACCTCCAGCGCGGAAGCAAACGCGCAAGGGGAAGGCAGCCGGCGCGCGGAGGAAAGCAAGCCTCCGAGCGGCGCGGGGTTGCTGTCAGCGTGCTTGTTCGGGTGTCTGAGGGCAGCAGGGAGGAATCCTGCGAGGTTTTCATCGGCCCTTGCTCTCCCTTGGCCTGGGGCCCCGGGTGGGAGGATGTGGGGGGGCCGGCGAGGGAGGGTGGCGCCCTAAACCTTTCCCCTGTTCTGTGCTCACCCTCGCTGGCCCCCAGTGAAAACTTTTGTACACTTCCCCACTCAGCCTGGAAGAAAGGGAGGGGGGCAAATACTGGGAGTCGGCTGCAGCCTCTTGCTTAAATACGGATTACTACCTCCTCCTCCTCCTTCTCCTCCTCCGCCTCCCACACAACCCCTCCCCAACTTCCAACTTCACCAGGGGCTCCGTCTCCCCGGCGAAAAGTCGCTGGTGAGAATAGGGCAGAGGATGGAGAACCGACTTCAAAGGCGCAGGCCCCACCAGGCCATAAAAATTTATGGGGGATGTAATTATGTGGCTCTGAAAACAGGCGACCGTTAATCTCTGGCAATGGCGAGTTTATAGCGGGGACAATTGGCTTCTCCCAGCCCCCTCCCCCCCAGGCCTCCGGGTCCCTCCGGTGGAAAGCGCCGGGGGTGGGAGGGGAAGGGGCGCCCACGCACTCACCCGTGCTCACGTGAACTTTGCGCATCCAGGGGTAGACGACGGGCTCTTTGCACGCGGAGTGGGACGGGCTGGGGTGCAGGGGGTTCTGG